TTTAATTTTCTTCATATCCAGCCTGAACTTGCATATCAACAATTGATGATCTCTGTTCTACAGTCTGCTCCTGGCCTGGTTTTGGCTGATGATATGGTGTTTTCCCACTGATTCTTACCATAGATATAGTCAATTTTATTTCTGTGTATTCCATCTGGCGAGGCCCATATGTATGTTGTTTAAAAATGGGATTTGCAATGAATAAATTATTTTTCTTTCAAAATTCTATCATGCTATGTCCAGCATTGTTTCTGTCACCTAGGCCATATTTTCCAATTCCTGATCCTTCCTCTTTATTTCCAACCTTTGCATTCTAATCATCACTGATTATAACAGTAAAATGCCTGCTGGCATTCAAAACACCGGTAGCATAGTCTCCAAGTATGACAGCCACAAGCAAGCCACCACAGTAAGACAAACTGACATCGGAGAGATGATGGTGTTAGTCAGTGTGAGGTAAGCATGTATGAAGTCCATGACGGTGGAGATAGCTCCTGACTGCCTGGCAGTGGGCCGTCCTTCTTGTTAGTTGCAGAGAGAAACAGAGGACCAGCCAGGGCCTGGGATGTGGGTGCTGTGGTGCTCACCCTGTTCTGGGCATGGCAGGACACACCTCACACACATGATCATGACATACACACGTGCTCCTATCCCCACCTAGGGCTTCTGGGATTTCAGGGAGCAGTGCCCAGATACCTTCAAGTCACACTGGTGACTGTGGCCTGATGCCAGAGTATTTCCAGAGGAAATTATCTCCTTTGACTTCATTCTGTGCCTGAACTTTTGGCTCCACAGAGCTCCTTGTCCTCCATTAATCGTACATGGGCACCAGACTCTGCTTTCTTGTCTTAAAGGAGTCCTGGGGTGGCACTGTGGGTTAATGTGCTGGACTGCAAAGTTGGTTTGAACCTCAAGGTCAGTGGTTCAAGCTCACCAGCTGCTCCTTGGAAACTCTGTACTGGGTTGTTATGCGTCAGTCAGCACAACTGGAGTTGAACCAGGAGGTTTCAGTCAAGCAGACCTTTGAGGTCAGCATGTATGCATACTGTCCTGGGGCCGAAGGTGTGCACTCACCTAACATCTCTGCTGCCCCTTGAGACCAGTGTCCTCAGGCCTGTGGGGAGGATTGAGAGAGCTCAAGGAGACCCCAGGCCCCTCTCTCTACTGGTTATAGGAATGTGAGTCAGCAGGCCTGCGGCTTTGCCAGCTTCCCTTAGGCCTTCTGAGCCTTCTGCCCACTGACAGTTTACTCAGGAGAGCCAGGGTACACTGGTTGGTCCAGCCTGCCCCTCTCTCTGGGACCATGAGCATGGGAGCATGGGAGCATGGAAGGTGTTGTGTTGTAGGGCAGCAGTCATGGCATGAAGAGCAGGGTGGATAGGCAAGGACCTGTGGGTGTGGACTTATATCGGGGGATCTGGTGAGTTCAAGCAGATTGATGTGCAGGGAAAGCCGTAGGGCCCTGAGCTGTGTTTTTGTTAGGAACAAAACACAGCTTCCAAACCAGATGAGTTTTCCCACTGAGCTGCCCCTCAGGGAGGTGGGCTGGCAGCACGCATGCAGAGTCTTTTATCCTTGGCGTGTGTGTGTGTGTGTGTGTGTGTGTGTGTGTGTGTTTGTGTGTGTGAGAGAGAGACAGAGACAGAGACAGAGAGAGAGGCAGTTCTGTCTTCTGATGGGATGATAGTGGATAGTTCTGGCAGAGGAATCAGCCAGGTGGCCTAGCATGTTCATGAGGGCCCCTGCCTCCACGCCCCAGCAGCCACTTCCTACACCCTGTGAATGAATTCCAGTCGTCCACCCACTCCTTGCCTTGCAGTCTGGGTGTCCAGAGACAGCTGCCCCCACTTACATGACTAACATCTCCCTTTAGATAAGGCTTTCGGTGCTGCGGCCCCTGTGCTTGTTCTTCAGCCCTTGGCTTGCTCTTGTGGTCCCTGCAGCCAGTGGAGCCAGAATGCTGTGTTCCATGTGTGTCCAGCCCCTGTGCACTGTCCAACACCTTGGGAAGGAGTTGGTCTGCCCATTGCAGCAGTGATGTACCCAGGAGACAGGGTGGGGATTGTAGTTATGAAAACTGAGGCCAGAGCACTAAGTCTGTCAGAACCCAATCTCAGTCTTCTGTCAGAACCTACCTGCCCTCTATCAGCTTGCCCACCAGTATTCACCTCATGGGTTTGCTGGGCTGTGAGTAGCCCAAGCTGGCCACAAGTACCTGTCAGGTGACACTATCCTAGGTTTGGAAAGACTAGATTAGCCAGGAATGGGTGCCAGAATTGAACAGGTGGGAGGGCAGAACCTGGGGGTCAGACTGTTGGGTGTCACCTAAGCTCACAAGAATGTGGTGACCTGACCATCTGTACACGTCTACTCACATATTCACATACACACACACAGGATGGACAGTACACGCACACACAGTCACATGTATGTACACACATTACAAGGGGGCTTCCAGAATCGGTGGAAAAATCCCTTTCTTCTCATTCCATTTTTCCATGAACTTTGTGGAGCTCCCTTGTGCTCTCACACACACATACACACTCTCTGCTGTGGGTGGGCCCTGATGCAGTATTGCTTGTAGTGGGAGACTTGCCTCTGAGTAGATACAGAGGACTTGGGCTGCTGGCTGGTGAGAAAGGTGAGGATGTGGAGTGCTTCGTGGATGTGGCAACTGTGGACAGGTGAGTGTGCCTCAAGTAGCCCATGTCCCTGGGCCAATCCTGGTACTCAACCTGCAGCTGCAGGCTGGCCCTGAACCTTCACTGCAGGAGAGGACTGGGAGGAGGGCTGCAGTGGGTGGAGAGTTGGAGCTGTCAGCAGAGTGACCAGGAACCAGGTTGGCCTCGATGCTCGTATGACACTGTTTGGCAGGTCACCCTGCATTCAGGTACCTCCTCTTTTTGTGAGCCGTTTTCTCTCCACTCAGTGACTCCATCTGCCAGGCAGTGCCAGATCTCACTCATAGTGACTCTGTATAGGGTTTCCAAAGCTGTACATCTTGGCGGGGAGTGGAAAACCTCATCCTGCTCCTGCAGGGTGGCTGGTAGGCTCAAATGCCAAGCTTGTGATTTGAAGTCCAGTGCTAGGTGGGAGAAAGTCCAAGGAAGCAGTTTTTTAGTTCAGCCTAAATAAAAATTTTACCGCAATCTTGTCGGGGACCCGCCTCGACATAGGGGTTCGGTTCACGAGGAGAGGATACCTGACGGCGATTCATATATATCAAGATTACACAGAAGGAGACAAAGAGAGAGACAAAGAGACAGAAACCAGAGTGAATGCTGGACTGGCATCAGGCAGATCCTGCATTGCGAACATCTCAGCCACGAAGGCCGTAATATCCTGCATAGTGAACCTTTTAGCTAAATAGGCAGTATGGTTGCAAGGCTGGACTGTGCACCCTGCATGCTGAAACGCACGCCTTGCCAGTCGTAATGCACCTGGATTCGTTCTGCTCCTTCCTTTTATTTAGGGGAGGAGCTTCACACCAAGCTGGGAGGGACTTAGGCAAGGTACAGCTAACATCAGTACTTTTCCAGACATTCAGGTAACTTTACACTGGTTCGAATCCCAGGCCAGCAACTTGGGTTCTCAGGCCCAATTAACATATCTATAGCCCCTGAGCTAAGTTGGGGAAAGGTGAGAGTAATGACAAAAGCTTGGGCGGAGTCCCGCTGTTTCGGCTTCCTGAGCCAGGTTTTCAGGAGGACTCGAAATGCCCAGGTGAATGGGCTGCACCTGGAAAAGGATTAGGGAGGATGGGTTCTTTGTCTATAGAACAAAGAACCGAGAAGTAGCTAAGATATTTTTAGTTAATCCTTTTGGAGAAAGGCTTGACCTTGCAACTTTTAGTCTTAGGCTTTAGGAAAATATCACATTTATCTGTGGATTGTCAAAGGCTCCATGTATTAATTTAATATATATAACTGAATATTAATATGAAAGTAATTTGCCATTAACTGCCAGTGGCCTCATTTGTTACACTCGGCCCTAGAGGGCCTCGAACCTCTGACTAGTCTTACACGGTCCGCAACACAATCTGAATTTATCAGTGGAATGGAATGAATGAATGAATGAACAGAGATGGTAAGTTCCTTCTGTTTCAGAGAACTTGACAGACAGCTACTTAGCAATAAATGGATGGATGGAAGGATGAGTGGATGTGTAAATGGGTGGATGGAAGGTAGACTGGTAGATGAAAGGATGGATGGGTTGTGGATGGGTAGAAGATAGATTGATGGATGGAAGGAAGGGTAGATAGATGCATGGATAATGCACTGGCCTGGCTGGAAATTGCTTGGTGTAGAGTGAATGCTCAGAAGTGGATGGATGAAATCGTCGCCTCTTGTGAGACAGCAGTTCTGCATGTCTCTTCGGAGATTATGGAGGAATGGGTGTGTATTTGTGGTACTTGCCCATGCACATCCCTTTTCTTTGCATGTGCCCGTCACACAGCTTTCCCCACCAGTGCTACTCCACACAACAGGACCTAGATCCTGAGCTCCCCATACCTGCAGCCCTCTTAGAGAATCTGAGCCAGCCCTTCTAGCTGGAACACTCAGGTACCAGGGGTCCTGCTGTGCTGCCTGGGACTTGCGTCTCATCTTTCTGGGCCTCCCTGGCCTCTACAGTATCAGTGGAAAGTGGACGGGACCACAACTTGCAAACTGGCAACCTTTGGGCCTGCTGACGTGCACAGGATGTAAAGTGTTGAAAGTTAGTTGTTTATTTCTGAGACTTAGGACATGCCATAGGAGAGTTGCAAAGGTGTGGCCCCTTCCCTGTCACCTTCTTGGTGGCCTTGAGGGGCTGAGGCTGATGGTGGGACTGTGCCCTCCAGGCAGCCCCTCCAACTTGCTCCCCTAGCATGTGAGTTTGAGACCCTGGACTGCATATTTCTGATGTTCTACTAGCCTAAGGCCAGTGGCATGGGGAGAGGGGTGTGTGTGGGGTGGGCAGACCCCTCCCCGTGCAGTGACTTCTGTCCCCTGCCCCTGCAGTTTCACACTGGCCATGCTGAGTCAACCCAAGATGGAGAGCCTGGACAATGCTGTGGCCTACCGAGTGGGCCTCGCCCTCCTGGGAGTTGGTACCGTGTTTGTGCTCTCCAGCTTCTCTGCACTGGGCTTCACTGGAACCTTCCTAGGTAAGACTTACCTGCCAGTGGCTCTGCACTTGCAGTGATGGCCAGGGGGCCCTGGTTCTTCTTGATCAGATGTTGAGTGTTGGCTCGATGGGCTTCTGTCCCTAGCCCTGGACCTTGGGCAACATCCCTCTTTCAGAAGGCCTCTGGGGCCTTGCTTGCTCTGTGCACAGGGAAGGTGCTGCCCCTTGCAGCCCTCCTGGCTGCAGCTTGGGTCCTTCCTGGTGGGGCTGGATTCCTCTTGCTATTGGGGGACCTGAGGCAGGGGCTGGTGTAGCTCTAGGGCAGATGGGGTGAGGGATGGTGGTGTATCATTCCTTGTATTTGCCCCCACTATCTGGAGCTCTGGGGATTTCCAGCCTAGCCATTCCTCCACGATGTCCGCCACTTCTCACCCTTGGGAGTCTAAGTAGAGAAAGCAGCAGGTGGGGTATGGTGTGGCTGGAGGGCAGGGGGCCTTGGGGACTAGGATGGAGAGGGTAGCCTGTCACAGTGGCAGGTCATAGACTGCACCATCACAGGCCTCCCTCCTCCCTGCCACCTGGCCTATGTTTCTGCACCCCACAGACACTGAGAGGTCACCTGGGCCCAGCATTGGACCTCCATGGTATTCATTCTGTCAGGGTAAGGACAGGCTCAGCCATGGATTCAGTCAGGCCTGCATCTCAGAGCTCTGGGGCACAAGGGTGGGTGGTACACCAGGCAGCCTCCTATTGTGGGACAGGAATTCATGGGGAGTAGGATCCTGGAAGAGGGGTGCCCAGGGAAGCTAGGGAATAGAGGGAAATGTGAACACCTTGGTTGACCAGGTCTGGGAGGAAAGGTCTTGAGTCAATGAACTAACTATGCAGAAGTCAAAGGGCAGAAGTTGGGGTAAGATTGGAGGAAAGCAGGCAGGCAGTGTTACAAGTTGGTTGCTGGGCTAGGTGGGACTGGAGGTGCTGACTTGTATGCCCAGGGCAGTGGTGGCCACAGAAGGACTTGAGATGATCCTCTCCCAGCCACAAGGAGATGAGGACCTAGAGAGAGGCCTGGTGCAGGAAAGGAGCCAGTGACACCAGGCCTGGGTAGGTGGAGGGGCCAGAGGTGACTGTGCTGGAGACCAGAGGAAGGTGCTCCTTGCCTACACTCAGCTCAAGGGCCAGAGGGACCAAGAGGGTGGAGGTGTGGAGCAGCTGGTCTGATGGGGGCTCTTCTGAGGAACTAGGGGGCAGGAGGAGCGGTCAGAAAGAATGAACCTGCTCAGCCCTGTGTGAGTCAGCCCCAGAGTGGGTTCTGTGCCATGGCTTCCTCTAGCCCGTTTCCTGCTTCCTGGGAAGAAAGCACTCCCCAGGGCCCAGGTCCTCACCTCAGGGCTCCGGCACCCTTTGTGCTGGTACAATGGGTTGACAGTGACGCAGCTCCCGCTGTGCCCATCCTGCCTGCTGCACCCCGTTGTCAGCCAGCTGCCCTACTTTCCACATTGGATGAGGCGCAGTGAATGTCGTGGGCCTGGAACTACAACAGCGGCAGCCTTTCGTTTCCTTTGTTGTTGTTAAGTGTCCTTGAGTCGGTTCTGACCCATAGTGACCCTGTATAGGGTTTCCAAAGAGCAGCTGGTGGGCTTGAACCGTCAACCTTGTGGTTGACGGTCCAGTGCTTACCCTACAGCACCACCCTATAATGAAGTTTTCCTTTACTGCATAGATATTAAAATGCAGATTTAAATTTCATAATGTGTCTTTAATACGTATTGCATTGGGCGAATCTGCTGCACAGGAACTTTTTAAAGTGTTGAAGAGCAGAGATGTCAACTTGAGAACTAAGGTGCACCTGACCCAAGCCATGGTATTTTCAATAACCTCATATGGATGTGAAAGCTGGACAGTGAATAAGGAAGATCATAGAAGAATTGATGCCTTTGAGTTGTGGTGTTGGAGGAGAATACTAAAAGTGCCATGGACTGCCAAAAGAACCAATAGATCCGTTTTGGAAGAAGTGCAGCCAGAGTGCTCCTTGGAGGCCAGGATGGCTAAGCTTCACCTCTCATACTTTGGACATATTGTCAGGAGGGAACAGTCGCTGGAGAAGGATGTCATGCTGGGTAAGATGGAGGGTCAGAGAAAAAGAGGAAGACCCTTAACAAGATGGATTGGCCAGGTGGCATCATTAATGGACTCAAGTGTGGCAGCGGTAGTGAGGTTGGCCCAGGATTGGACATAGTTTCGTTCTGCTGTGCATGGGGTCGCTATGAGTCGGTTCCGACTCGATGGCACCTGACAACAACAACAACAATACATTTGGGACCACCTTTATTTTTATTCCAAAATTTTATTTTAACTTGAAGGCTTTTGTATTCTGTCCTAAGGGGTTAAAAGAGAGCTGGAGACTACTTTTATGCAAGCACATTGCCAAGAGCACGTGGAAAATGTATTTGGCCCCCCAAAAGCTAAGCCATCTTAGATAGCCATCAGTGTGTTTTCTCCATCAGCATTGTTTGGTTTTAATTTTAGGTAGGGACATTTTTATAAATTACACACAGATGATACACTGTGAGAATGAACTGCAACAGATGTTTTGTTTGGATGGTTTCCCTTTAATCTGTTTTCAAGCAATAGCTCCCCATTTTGTTGTCACTCTACCCCCTGGGAACAGCTCATTTAGTTTTGTCTCTGTGCATTTGCCTATTGTAGTTATTTTATATAATTGGAATCATATAATAATTGTATTTGGATTATTTCACATAACATAATGTTTTTGAGGTTCAGCCATGTGGTAGCAACTTCATTTCTCTTTACGACTTGAGTAATACTACATTATGTGGATATACCACATTTATTTATGCATTTGTCTGTTTGGTATTATGAATAATGCTGCTAGGAATATGAATGTACAAGTATCTATTTGATTTCTGCTTTTAAATCTTTTGGGTGTTTATCTGAGAATGGGATTTCTGGTTCATTTAGAAATTCTATTTGAGAAACCACCAAACTCTTTTTCCCAGTGGCTGCCACATTGTTTACAGATACATGGGTTTATTTTTAGACTCTAAATTCTTTTCCATTGGTCTGTGTGTCTATCCTTATACCAGTACCAGCCGGTTTTAATTATTGTAGATGTATATAGTATATCATTTGCTGTGATGCTGTGGAGCTTCCAGACTAAGCCAGATAAGGAAAAAAAGGTTTGGTGAGCTACTTGTGAAAATCAGACCCCTAGAACACTATGAACCATAATGGTTCAATTCACAACCAATTATGGTGATGACATTGGATCAGACAAGTAACAACAGTAGTACTATATCTTGAAATCACAAAGTGTGAATTTTCCTATTATTTTGTTCTGTTTTCAAGATTGTCTTGGCTACATCAGGCCCTTTGCACTTCTGTATGGCTTTCAGGACTTAACCAATTTCTGCAAAATCAGTTGGAATTTTGATAGAGATAACACTGAATCTACAGATTACTTTGAGTAATCTTGACATCCTAACAATATTAAGCCTTCTTCCAATCCAGGAACAGAGTATCTGTCCACTTATATAGGTCATATTTAATTTTTTTCAACACTGTTTTTTATTGTTGTTGTTGTTGTTGTCAGGTGCCATCGAGTTGGAACCGACTCATAGCGACCCCATGCACAGCAGAACAAAACAATGTCCGATCCTGGGCC